CTCCTCCTGGCTGAATGAGGGCCGGAAGCGGGGCGGCCAGAAGCAGGGGGTAGGGCTTCATCGTGTGCCCTGCCCCCCGCACCTCACCCGGGGGAACGGCGATCCCCCGTGATCCCCGAATCGACCTCTGCAGCAGACACCTCGCTGCTAACTTCCCCATAGTAGCCTCTCTCTCCAGCCATACCTTCCTTCCAGCTTACTTCCTGTTTCAGACTTCAGCTGGGGAGAAAATGCACAGAAAGACAGATTTGCAGGGAGGTGAGCTGTGGAGGACACAGGGGGACTTTGTCCTCTCCCGCCCCAGAGCACCCCAATCCTGTTGGCTCCTGCTGGAGGAAGTGTAGCTCCTTTATAGCTGCAGCAGCTGCCTCCTGGAGTCGGGCCATGGAAGAAGACAGACAAGCGAGGCAACCTAGGACAAGTGAGGGGCTCCATCTTTGGCTAAGGGTCATTTCCAGACACCTGACATCACAGGCCACCTAGGGATTACTCTCCTATGGATGCTGATTGCCAGTGGTCACAATGAAGGTGGGAGAGGATGAATGCGGCGTTTGCACTAATTTGGTGCCAGTTTGGTGTAGTGGTTAAGAGAGCGGACTCTAGGAGAACCGGGTTTGATTCCCCACTCCTCCACATGCAGCTGCTGGTGTGATCTTGGGTCAGTCATAAGTTCTTTCAGAGCTGTTCTCTCAAAGGCAGTTCTTGAAAGAGCTCTCTCAGTCTCACCTACCTCACAGGATGTCTGTTGTGGGGAGGGGAAGGGAAAGGGATTGGAAGCTGCTCTGTGAAGGGCGGGGTGTAAACTCAATCTCTTCTTCTTCTAGTGTAGGAAGCCCAGTGCCCAGTGACACTGCTGTCTGTTTTCGTGTGTGTATTGTAAGCTGTTTTGAGGGCGGCTCAGTGGTAGAGCCTCTGCTTGGCATGCAGAAGGCCCCAGGTTCAATCCCCAGCATCTCCAGGTAAAAAGATCAGGTAGAAGGTGATGTGAAAGACACCAGCCTGAGACCCTGGACAGACACTTCAGTCTGAGTATACAGTCCTGACGCTGATGGACCAAGGTATCTCTCCCTTATAATAAAGCAGTAGTGGGGACCAACGTTCTAAAATGCCCGCCTTTAGTGTTTGGCTGGAAGAACTGCCACTCAGAAGACACTGGCTGGGTTGACTGGCTGCTTTGTGCAGTCCCGCCCAGCATTTCAAGGTCTTTTGCATATGGAAGCTGATTGGACTTCACTCCATTCCACACCTCAAACTCCCCCCCCCCACAAGGCAGTTGGAATTTTCAGTTGCATATGGGAACTACTGTATTCTGAGGTAACATATGTCCTCACTCACAACACATCACTTCCCCTTTAAAAGAAACAAACCCAATAACACAATCACGCCACACCACAAAGAAGACAGATCACACCACAAGCAGAATACCTCAAGGCAAAAAATGATAGGAAAAGGTGCCAGCAGTCACCCCATTACTGCCACAGATCGTGTGCAGGTCCCAGGTTCATGTTTTAAAAGCTGCCTGTGGGACTATGGACCATTAACACACTTTCAACCATAACATACCTCATAGGGTAGTTGTGCGGATCATACGGGGGAGAGGAGAATGATGTCAGCTGCTTTGCTTCCCACTGCAGGGAAAGACTGCCCTTTCCCTAGGCAGAGGCTGTGGGGGGGGATGTAAAACTTAAGACAGACAGGCAGATAAAGGTTGGCTGATGGTTGCCTGGAAAGGACATAGGGTTGAAGCCTGCTAAGGGTGGGGTCTGAGGAGGAGGAGGAAGAGAGCCGATGCCTCCGTCGCCTGGCTGGAGTGGCCGCGGGGGAGTCTGGAGTCGGGCGGCCGCTGGTGGGAGCCGCGGGTGCCCGGGCCGAGATTGGGGGGGCAAGGCGGGCGACAGAAGGCCGATGCCTCCGTCGCCCGGCCCTCTACAGAATCCACCCCCCAAACCTCCAGGTATTTCCCTCCTTAGAGCTGGCAACCCTACATTCCCCTCAGTGCCTGTTGGTAGGCAACTAAGCTTGGTCCTGTCACCTACTTTGGCCTTTGGGAGAAAACACATTGGGGCCAGTCCTGATAGGGTTGCCAACTCCAGATGGGAAATTCCTGGAGATTTGAGGGATGGAGCCTGAAGAGGGTGAGGTTTGAGGAGGGGTGGGACCTCAGACAGGTACACTGCCATAGACTCCACCCTCCAAACCAGTCAGTCCCACATAGGGAACCATTGTTGCCAATCTCCAGGTGAGGGCTGGAGAGCACTCAGTATTACAACTGCTCTGCAGAAGGGAGGGCAGAAGTCAGCTGAAGTCAAAGGGGCAGATAATGGTAGGTTGGTGGCTAGCTGGGAAGGAGATGGGGTTGCCAACTACATGCTGACAAATTCCTGGGGATTTGAGGGGTGGAGCCTGGAGAGGGTGGGGTTTGCAGACGGGTGGGACCTCAGACAGGTAGAATGCCATAGACTACACCCTCCAAACCAGCCATTTTGTCCTGGGTAACAATTGCTGCCAATCTCCAGGTGAGGGCTACAGATCACTCACAATTACAACTGCTCTTCAGGTAGCAGAGATCAGTTCCTCTGGAGAAAACAGTGGACTCTGTCATTATACCCTGCTGAGGTCACCACAGCAAATTGACACTGTTTGCCCAAAGCCAGAGCACTGCCCCAGAGCCTCTTTCTAGATCTCGTTGTATTGCTTTCACAACGGGCTTTACTGCTCGTTCAGTATAAGGCAGCTTCATGTGTTCAAATGAAAAACAGGATATAAATAATTTTGAAATATACATAAAAATGCCCAATCTCGTGAGCTGATGTCTCAAGCATGCCAGTTCAGTGTACTGAGTTGCTAGAATACTAAATTACACACCAGCTATCCGATTCTACTCTGCAAGGATCGAATGATAGAATTCAATCTTGGTTATACCTTTTAACACTATATTCCTCTCTCCCCCCAACCCTGATGAATAGTTTCTGGTAGGAATTTTATATATGAAATAATAGTTTACATGCAATGAATTGGAACTTGAAGGATCATCTGTATTCTATTTGGGACTGTGACCGTTTTGTGAGGAAAGCTTATCCAAACTTGTGGAGAACTTTTGTGAGGCCACTGTAAAACTTAAGATAAATTTTAAGTAAGTTGACAGTTCAGGATTCTATAATGTGCTTTTGCTCTTTCAAAGGCAAGGAACTCACTTTGCCAGAAATGGTCAAATATGAGTTAACAGTATAGCTAAGGAAATACCATGGTTGCTTTGCTTACTTTCACAAGTAGATGTTACCTGTTTTTTCTCGGTTTCCGTTTTTCCTCTAGGACTGATTTCTGAAAGCATAATTTTGGAAAGCGTTATTACTGTGTGGGTAACATTAGGCAGAAATGTATTTTACAATCATTTGTCTGTGTGCATCAGGGCGTTATTTCCACCCCACTTTTTTTTTGTTGCAAACATCAGATGCTCTTTCATCTCTCCCCCACGCAGTCTTGAGACTTGGGGTGAACCTCTGCATTACAATTCTTGTTCTGATTTAAAACTGGACAATTCCTATGCAAGTATATGATTTCATAGATGCTTTTGTTGACCCCCCCCCCGCTTTTTATATAACCTATAAATCCCAAAAGTGTCACTTTTCTGTTCTGTCCTTCTTTGGGACTCCCTCTTATTGGGCTGGATCCAGACTAAATTCCCTGCAAACAAAAAGCATTTCTTTTAGCCTCCCACTGCAATCTCCCCCAAATCCTGTTCCCATGGGACAAGTGACCCTCAAGAATGGCATGAGGGGTAAATTGGTGTCTGCAGCAGGAAGAGAAAATGGACAGAAGTCACATCCATCTTTTGGTTGGTGGAAGACATGGTCTAGATCCAACCCACTGCTATGGCAGGAGCAGTATACTATTTGCAAAATGCAGAGCTTTTAGAGAGAATTATAGAACAATTCTAATTCCCCCAAGTTTCAAAATGTCAAAGTCTTTAATCTTTTTTCCAAAAACCTTCCCAGATAAAGCCAAGCTAGATATCATCCTTTGGGATGTATATCAAAGAGAAGAATGGAACAGATCCGGATCTCAGTTGTACTGATATCAGCCACCAGTCAGTGCCCCTAACACATGGCACTAAATCGGTTTTAAATCTATGCCAGAGGACCCACATCATTTGCTAGATTCCTAAAGTAAACAGATTTCTTTAACCTACAGTGTATAAATATAGAGCACCGAGCAAGAAGGGGGTGTGACCTTTCTTGAAGCAGTTATTATTTAACTCCCGTTTAGTGCTTGCGGCGTGAGCTGCAGTCTGCCCAAATGATTAAGGAGAGGATTCTAAGTAGACTAACTTGAAAATTAAATAAGACATAGGGTCAAACTACATGTGATGCTTCTGCGGGCAGACCTCCAGATGTGTAATTTTGCTCTAAAGATCAGCCATGGCATATGTGAGTGCGTGTGTGAAACTGCCATTGGAGCCTCAGCACAGGAGGAGAAGTTCAGCTCTTCCGCTTGTACTATTCCTACAAGCAGAGAGGGTCTCTACAAACTCCTTTCAGCCTGGTAAAGGAAAAACCCAGGAACCCACAGAAACACAAGAGCTGGAAGGTATCCCCAAGGGTCAACTAGTCCAAACACCTGCACGATGCAGGAAATTCACAGCTACCCTCTCCCATTCTCCCCCACCAATGACCCCTGCTCTATGCTCAGAAGATGGCAAAAGACCTCCAGGATCCTTGGACCAATCTAGCCTGGAGGAGAGTTCCTTCCTTACCCCAAAAGTGGTGATCAGCATTTCCCTGGGCATATAAGAAAGGACCACAAGAGCCAAGCACTGGCTCATTCCTTCCTACACATTGTCTTTTTCTCTGTTAGGGCTCAGGGAGACCATTGCCAATCTGGGAAGGTGTGTGTGTGTGGGGGGGAGCAAGTTAACCATACCCTCTTTCATCACTGTAGCTGCGATCCACCCCACCCCCCATGGTTATTATGGCCCAAATACATGATCCTGATTCAAATCACAGAACTCCAGCATCGTGTGTAGCTTGGCTCATGGCTTAAGCAGGCTTATCCGTCCACTCAGGGTGCCTAGTAAATACTGTGCCAAGCTCTGCCCTTCTGCTATACTTTTCCCACGTTCTTTTGTCCCAAAGGTGGAACTTGACAGAGGACTGGAGGGGGGACAAGAAAGAAGAAAGAGGAGGAGGAGGAAATTGGATTTATACCCTGCCCTTCACTCAGAGTGGCTTACAAACTCCTTTCCCTCTCCCTCCCCACAACAGACACCCTGTGAGGTAGGTGGGCCTGAGAGAGCTCTTTTGAGAGCTGCTCTTTCAAGAACAACTCTGACAGAACTATGGCTTGCCCAAGGCCATCCAGCAGCTGCAAGTGGAGGAGTGGGGAATCAAACCTGGTTCTCCCAGATTAGAGTCCACACGCTTAACCACTACACCAACCTGAAAAAGACAGGATATGGAATGCTAATTAATGGCAGGTGTAGTGTAGAGTCTGCACACTTAACCACTACACCAAACTACTGGGAGAACTGGGTTTGATTCCCCACTCCTCCACTTGCACCTGCTGGATGACCTTGGGTAAGCCATAGTTCTGATAAGAGCTGTCCTTGAAAAAGAGCAGTTTCTGTCAAGAGTTCTCAGCCCCACCTACCTCACAGGGTGTCTGTTGTGGGGAGGGAGAGGGAAAGGAGTTTGTAAACCACTCTGAGACACCTTTGGGTAGTGAAGGGCGGGGGATAAATCCAATCTGTTGTTCTTCAGGACACCCACTTTATTGTCCTTTAGGAGCCAGGCCAAGACATTGATTTTCATCCAAACTTAACCAAGGATTCCACAATTTGGGGTTGTTTTTATGGTCTTCTAGTTTGAAGACTATTTCATGGATATCATTTTAGGTAGCTGATTGTAATTTTATGCTGTTTTTATTCTTATGCTGTTTTTGTCATTTGATTGCATTGGTTTTACTTTGTGAGTCATCCTGAGCTTCTCTCTGGAGCATATACATTTTCTAAGCACACTGGCTCTTTTCAAGGAAAACAACAAGAGTATATCTAATTGAGCTCATTTGTAACAGGATGCTCCAGGACGTTGTCAAGCACAAGTCTGCTGTCCTGTGTCCTGTTTATATTAATAAAATGTGCATTTTTGGTGTGTTTACTGCAGCAGGCACACTTGCTACATAAAGTACAGAACCGAGGCCTACTCAGATTTCATATTTGGTGGAAACGAATGGCATAAACATGACTCTGGCTTGCCAACATGCAATCACAATTCTACATTTGCCGACACCAATAAGTTTAGAGTGGAACTAAATGGGACATGATACCCTGAGCTGCCACTGCTACAGAGACAAAGGTATACTTGTCCTCTTTTTTAAAAAAATGTTTCAATTCTTTTTTAAAAAAATCTGTTTTAACTTAATGTGTTGTATGATGCTATTGTGCATTGCCTTTCCCAGGCCCTGCCTTGCATCATGAGAATGTCACTGTGTATTGATGTCACATCACACATTGGGTTGTAAGCAATCCAAGGAGCCAAAAGACACCATGTGACAGCAGCTCCATCTCTCTTGCAACTCCTAGTTCTGCTCTCATTTCTTCAGATCCCTGGTTATAATTTCTGATGAGTGCCAGCAATCGCTGCAGCCTGACTAGGCAAATGTATTCTGTCACCTGCTGCTAAATAGGTCAATAGCAAGTGCATGCCTCCAGCAAGAGGGCTTAATTGCTCTTAAGAGGAATTTAACAAACAGCTTCTTCAATTTCCTCCTGACACATCCAAAAGCTTATTTTCTTCTTTTTACTCTCCATTCAGTGGCCTTAAGGTCAGGTTTGGAAAGCTGTCACTGCCTGGGATATTTTGAGCCAAGGGATTATAAGGAAATATTCCTCAGGTCCTCTCTTGTCAGATTTTCAATGTGGAGTCCTAACGGTGGAGTTGGAATGAATGCTGCACTTTTACCAGGCAATCCTGTCCAGATTTACATGTCCAGATTTACTCTGAAGTCAGTTTCAGAGTTTAGCCAGAGTTACTTGACTAGGAGGGTTGCATCAGGTTGCAGCTACAGGGTAAAAAGTCCTACTGAAAGAAATAGCTACAGAGGTGGCTGCAGCACAGTGGTAGAACATCTGCTTGGCTTGCAGAAGGTCATGGGTTCAATCCCCAGGACCTCCAGTTAAAAGGTTCAGGTAATGTGGGAGACCTCCACCTGACATTCTGGAGAGCTGCTGCCAGTCAGAGCAGGCAATACTGAGTATGATAGACCAGTATAAGGCAGCTCCATGTGTTCAACAGGAGCACTGTTATGCACTGCTTTTGGTGGTGTTTCTTATACTTTGATCATGAACCTAGCAGATTTGAACAGGACTGCCAGCTACTAAAGAACAGCAATGGAGCTGGATACAATGACCCCAGATCACTTCTGATCACACAACAAGGGGACAGTGTCTGCCAATTATCCCTGTGCTGCACCTCACACCATTACTGAGGACCAGTGACCCTCTGTGTTGCTTTTTAGGGGGAGGACATCTGATTCAGCAAGAAGGTGGAGACGGCAAAGGCCAGCTCTGCAAATGGAGGTCTACTTGCAGTCCTCTGGGTTCAAGACTTGCAACATACCCGATAGGCTTTAACCACATAATAGGACAAGAATGCATACATGTAGCAATGTGTAATATGTAGAATCCTCAGGGTTGTTTAATGTCTTGGGTTTCTGAGGTCTTCTTGGGGTTCTCTGTATAGGGCGGTTGTCCTCTGCTCTGGAGGCAACTGCAAGAAATGTAAATACATGAGAAATGCTTGTTATTAACAGAAGAAGGATGCATTTTTACATGACTAAAGCAGTTAGAATGAATGCCTTAAAAGAAACAACACGTATGAACATTAGCAAGGGGAAAATATCCTTGCAAGATTACATAGGCTGTTTTCCTGCACACAAAAATATGGGACTACTCTGACCATAATATGACAATCAAGCTTTTAAACTATTTGGCAGGTGGTAAATTTCTACTTCTTCTTTCACTCCTGATTCTTTGGAAATGAATTCAACCTGCTGCCCACTGTACCACATACAACAGCAACTTGGCTCATGTTTCTGAATTTTTCAAGTGTTTGAAGGCACAACTTGGAACTCGCGTTCGAATGGCAATTCGAGCAGAGGAGTGATCGCACATCGCAAAGAATTCTGCTTTTAAAAAACACAAATAACCTGAGCTGCATTTTTTTTTAATTAGTATTGTAACCTGCCTTGAGACAGAAATCTGTAAATTCCGGGAAAAACCTGAAAGTCAGAGGGAATCCTACTTGGAGAGTTGGGTTTGAAGAGTGACAGATACTAACATGACTTGGCACCAATTCACACAAACCACATAATTTAATATTATTTTAATAACTGTAAACCCTTGGCTAGTTTTCACTAAGAGGATAAATCTCTCTCTCTGTGTCACATCATGAAATTCTGAACAGACCCCCCCCCCAGTATGTCAGCCTGAACAGGCTACAACTGTTCCCCCTAACATCTGGTTTTCTTTATGAAAGTTTTTTTTTAATGGAAAGACCATTAAGTAAGCTTCTACTTTCAGTGGTACATAGACACGGGCTCGCCACATCAGTGACAACCAGGCCACAGCGGAATGACATTGGAGTTTCATTTTGTGACCATGTCTGGGTTGTGCCTGATGGGAATAGCCTGTTGACCCCACTGGACAACCCTTTTCATGAAGTCCTGTTGTTGCTGCAGATGTCCAAGCAGTAGCATGGCAACAGAGCTTCCAGATAGGAGATTTCTCTGCATCTTCTGCACCTCAGTCCCTAAACGTGGCCATCCCCCATACAACATTCCACTGGTTTATGAATATTTCTTTTTACTGGTAACTGACATAATGATAGACCATCATATTGTTATGTTGATATGCCAGTGGCCAATTTAAAAAATAATATCCTAACAGCCTCCTCCAGGGGACTGAGAAGGGGAATTGGCTGCCCTGTGGGCAGGACCAGGAAAATCTGGCCTTTCCTGCTCACATGGCAGCTATTGCTACCATAGTTCTGTGATCTTTCCTAAAACCCTGCAGCGAAGCAGGTTTAGAAAAGATCAGAGAAAAGCCAGAGAAAATCCTGTAGGTAACCAACTGTACCATGATGCTGTAGAGAAATGGGACAAAAACAACATTTCCCAAATGCATTGATCCCTGGGCAAATAGCCTGTGCAGAAAAGCCCATTCTAAAAACAACAGTAGTATAATGACTTTTTATTAAGACCAACCAAAATATCATCAAATAATGAGCAGGCTTTTGATTTCTCCAGAAATCTTCATCAAATGATAACACATCCTGATTAATATTTGTGGGGGACTTGAAAGGTCTGCTCACAGTTTCTGATATTTTGGTTGGTACTAGAATCACCAGCTCCAGGTTGGGAGACTCCTGGAGATGTTGGGGGTGCAGCCTAGTGAGAGCTGGGTTAGGGGATGGAGGGACCTCAGCAGGGTATAATGCCATACAGTCCACCCTCCAAAGCAGCCATTTTCTCCAAGGGAATGGATATATGTCACCTGGAGCTCAGCTGTAATTCCAGGTGATCTCCAGGTCCCATCTGGAGATTGGTAACCCTAGTTGGTACTAAAAAAATTCTGTTACATTGCCATTTGGGAAATTTTTTCTGTAGGCCAAGATGGCAACTTGATACATGCTAAAGAATCTGCTGATTTAAGTGGTCTATTCCCCATGTATTCACTACTTTCCCCTTGGTTTGACCTTGAAACATGGATCTTTCACAATGCATGGTTTTTCCCACTCCCTGTCACTCCATGTATGGGTAAGGAAAGGAAGAATTTGCTCCCCTGGTGTCTGAAAGAAACTATTTGTCTCTTGTGGAGAGGGAAATGCTAAGCTACCGACATAATTTTAATTAAGAAAGTGGCACAAGCATTCATAATCAGAAATGATCAGCAATACATTAGTGCAAGCCCCAGCTAGATTAGCTACATCACTTTTTTCTTTTTATGTGTGATAAATAAAGGCTTGGAAAGGTCATGATAGACTGGAGGACCAGAAAGAATCATGGTAATTTACAGTGGTGTCTGAGTAATGATTACGTTCATTGTTCTAGTTTCTTATCTACAATGCAGACGGCTCCTAATGTAATGAACGGACAATTATCCCTTAACATTTCCCCTCTTTGAAAACAATGGAGCTTTTCTAAACCAAGATGCCTACAATCCACTTTCAGCAATGAAATTTCAGTGCAAATAATTCATTTTACTAAACCAAAAGCACATAGTAATCACCGTTTTACAGTTAAACCAGATACAGGTAGCCAGATTAGATCCCACTTGAAGACATTCAATTGTGTAATATGAATGCTAAATGTATATATATTTTAGGAAGCTGGTATAGTGTAATGGCTAAGAATAGGTGAAAGTTCCCCAGCAGAGGTCTTCCAACATCTATGGTTACGGGCCAGCCCTGGTCTGGAGAGCATATTACATCATCGCTCTATGCTGAAGATCACTAAGTTGGAAAGAACCGTTAGTATGCCATCGCATTTAATCAAAGATGATACCATCACTAGCACTTTAATTATTGGAGTGTTTTAATGTTTACTGTCAATGCTTATATTTAAATGTTTTAAACTTTGTATATGGTTTCACGGTACTGGGTACCGACTAATGTTAGCCGCCCTGAGCCCGCTCGTGGGGAGGGCGGGGTATAAATCGGAATAATAAATAAATAAATTACTGCAACCACAGACTCAAAGGATGGTCCGACACAGCCCCTGTTCTCTGTTTCAGCTCAATCTTTTGATAATATGGAGATTATCATAAGGATTATTGTGTTGCACTTTGAACATCTGAGATGTGCTGTACAAATGGTCTGTTTGTTCTTGCACTGAAATCTCTCAATAGTCTGTCACTATGAGATAGGGCAGCGCTGGCTCCCATGACTGGATAAAAAGAAAGGCGGGCTCCTCTTGCTTGGTTATTCCTCGAACCAAATCCGTGCAGCACTGCAGCTACGTGCCACAGACTGCAGGGTATGTACATCCATAGCCTGCTTCCCCCTCCCCTCTGAAATGACTATTTGAAAACTCTACATTCTTGTCACAGCACATCGGCCTGATTTCCTGCTACCCTTTCACCTTGGGTGGTCACCAGAAATAATCTACAGGAAATAAAGCTAAAAATCAAAAGTTATCACTAGAGCCGCGGCGAGTTGTCAGAAATGAATAATGCTGCCTCTATTCATAGCCAAAGGCAGGCAAATATCCCCGTTTGGCATACAAAGTGCTATTTTGGGACTCACGCATCACAGCTGGAAAGTGACATGCCGAACAAGGGAAGTTGAGGGAAACATGTACAATTATCCTGTGAACTATTACAGTAATTACAGAAATCGAAATGCCAACTGATTTAAAGGAAAACAAAAGATCAGCAGACGTTGCCACTCGCTGATTAATGCATTTATCGGGGGGAAAGGGGGCTAGAAAGAGGCAATTCGGTGGGAAAAACTGCTCTCAGAAATCACTGCTTCCCAAAGTACAAAGATCTATAGGAAACTCTTTTTTAATTAATACTCTGCTTAGAGACAAATCTTTACCTCTGATCGATGGCCAAGCTGAGAAAACAAAAAACACTGGTGGAGGTAGGCATTCTATTTTCTTTATTAATGAAGGAACGGCCATGATGCTGTTGTATCTGCCGCTCCTGTGTACCCAATGCTTGTGATTACAATTGTTTTATCCACAAGAGACAATAAACCCTACTACTTGTTTTATCCACAAGAGACAATAAACCCCACACTACTGCACACAAGCCCAATAATGAAAAAGAGGGAATGCCATACAATGAGATATGCCTTGTATATATTCAGGCACAGCAAGCCATTATAATTCTCAGTAAACATGGTACATAGAACTTCAGCAAGTACTGGCATCCTGTTTCCTTTGGCATTACTGATGTCTTCCATAACTCACATTCAGTTGTGATAAACAGAATATAGAGGCCTACTGTTAGAGTAGGGTTGCCATTTGCCCAGTGGGGGTTTTGGATCCCACAATTTTGTGGGCTCCTGCCTGCCACCAACCAGCTGGCTGGTGGGAATGGAACCCCTCCCCCAACAGCAACATTGCATGTGACATGCCTGCATCACCCGGACGTTATGTCAGCAACATCGGGGTGGGGGGACGCTCTGGATTTTGGACAAAACTGTATGGTTTGATGCTGATTTAACCATAGAGTTTTGCCCAGGATCCAGAGCATTGTCCCCAGTGTCACCAACGCCACTTCTGGGTGATGCAGGCAGATAGCGTGTGACGTCACTGTCTAGGGGGAATGTGGGCAATGTCACTTCCCACTCCTGGAACGTCCCCTCCTTCCACCTGCCAGCGGGTGAAAGGGACCTGGCAACCCTATGTTAGAGACAGTGTGGTGTAATGATTAGAGCTTACAACTAGGATCTAGGAGACTCCAGATTAGTATCCCCAACCTGCAGTGGAAAGTTGCTGGGTGACCTAGGGCCAGTCACACACTCTCAGCATAACCTATCACAAGGTCGTTGTGAGGATAAAATGGCAGAGAGCAGAATGATGTAAAAGCTGCTTTGCATACCCCTTGAGGAGAAAAGTGGGGTATAAATGAAGTAAATAAATAAATTAGAGGAAGAAAACACCCTATCTTGATTTTGACTGATTGCATTTAGTTACATAACATTACATTACATATTACATTTATATACCGCTCTTTCCCGAAGGCTCGGAGCGGTTTACAGAA